GTGAGTGTGGGGGATGCCCAGTGTCAAGAACTGGTGTAGACTTGGTGAGTGTGGGGATGCCCAGTGTCAAGAACTGGTGTAGACTTGGTGAGTGTGGGGATGCCCAGTGTCAAGAACTGGTGTAGAATGCTTCAGTTAGATACATGTTGGCTCATCAGTGATTTCAGACGCAATTTGATTTCCTCACAGCCGAATTGAATTTGTCACTGCTGATGTTCACGCCTATAGACGTCGATGGGACTGTTGTTTGTTTACGTCCACCATGTGACCAGTACCGTGACGCTATCTCCTACTGTTTTGCCCCGTCCGTTAAGGATGTCAACTTGTTCACATAACACAAACATAGTTTCTTAAACATCTGTTTCCAGCGGTGGATAAACAACCAGAGACATTGTTCGTTACAGGGTACTCCTTGCCATGAAGAGTATTCCCAATTGGTTTGCAGTCCACCTATCTCATTTGGAAACGGACTGTAGATTGCACGTTCAGAATTGATTTTGAATCCCTGACCCAGAACAACTGCATCAATAATAGTTTGACGTCAGAATAAAAGTTTAATTCAAGTAAGATTTGTAACAGTTTTGGTAACCAAGCGTTGTGCAGAACGCCATAGCCGCGTTTATCACTTCATAATGCTTAACACTTCAACTGATCCGACATGTATAATTCCATGCGTGATGTAAGCAATGATTCATTGATGTCATTGGTGTTTCATACCTGTAAACAACCCGTAGATCATATCAAAGTTTTGTAGTCTACCAATTGATGGTACATCTGTGTAACGTGCCTGTAGACATTGCTGTAAGCTACATTTACATAATACAAAAACTTCGTAAACTACTTTATGACGACCACCCGATCTGCGCGATCTGTCTGTAATGACATTATAGTTTCTCTACAGTCACAACCTTTCTGTAATGACATTATACATTCTCTACTGTCACAACCTGTATGTCATGACGTTACACAGTCTCTACAGTCACCTGTCTGTCATGACATTACACAGCCACAAACTGTCTGTCATGACATTACACTATCTCTATAGTCACAACCTGTCTGTAATGGCATTACACAGTCTCTGCAGTGACAACCTTTCTGTAATGACATTACACAATCTCTACAGTCACATTTTGTATGTAATGACATTATACAATCTCTACAGTCACAATCTGTCTGTAATGACATTACACAGTCTCTACAGTCACAATTTGTATGTAATGACATTACACAATCTCTACAGTCAAAATCTGTCTGATGACATTACATATTCTCTACACATACGGACTGTCTGTAATGGCATTGCACAGTCTCTGCAGTCACAATTTGTCTGTAATGACATTACACAGTCTCTGCAGTCACAATCTGTCTGTAATGACATTACATATTCTCTACAGTCACAACCTGTCTCCAATGAGATTACATATTCTCTACACATACGGACTGTCTGTAATGGCATTACACAATCTCTACAGTCACAACCTGTATCTGATGACTTTACACATTTTCTACAGTCACAACCTGTATGTAATGACATTACACAGTCACAACCTGTCTGTAATGACACTGCAGAATCCAAATTCCGAAAACGGCATATCTAAATATTCAGTTAAGTATATCTTGTAAACGTGGCGTCGTTTAGATGAGCGACGATAGTCCTGTCGATATGCTGAAAACTGTGGATGTGTCCTTTCTAAACAGGAAAAATCCTCACAGAGGACTGAAACGTCTTCAGTGGAAAATCTCTTTGATTCAAAGACATATGGAGGAATTACTCTGAATCCGCCGCCTACACGTCACACAATGGCCTGTTCAATCACAGGTGCAGTAATCCTGTACAATAGAATGGTCTAATATGCGAGGCTCGGTACGGCTTGTTAGACATCATTAATCGACGGTCGTGTGGACAGATGATATGACTGTATCGACAAGTCAATGCAGTGTACGAGACTCAGGATCATGGGAATGGGGGGATGTTTCCATTGACGTTAATTGATATATGAGCACAAACGGCAGATTTACGGCGTAGTTCGATGTACACTGTGAGGTCCTTTTTCTTCCGCTCTATTGTGTTTTGCTACTGTAACTACTTTGCAGTAATTTCAATTTCATTATGAAGTTAGTTAATTTTAAATGCACAAAGCATGGCAGATGTCCTTGGTTTTAATTGTGTCCACTATCTTTTCTTCATGTTAGTATGCTCGGTAAAAGTTCAACAACGAGTTTTCTCAGTTCGTTTTCATATGTGTAAATATTAACTCAGTCAGATGTTATTTTCATAATCTCATTTTCCTTTCCTACTGAATATTCTAACTGCGGGAACTCAAATAAAACATTCACACAGCTCTCCTATATTATGATTGTACCTGCAACTGTAACCACAACCAGCCATCTAGTTTACCCTTAAAACGGAACAGACACAAATTTAATCTCTTACAGAATTAATTAATTAATTAATTTATAAATTAAATGTGTCTGTCTATTAATACAATAGTGACGATCAATACGTCATCACAAAATGTAATGCAGCAGAGTCAAGTAATCACTGAGGAGAAATTATCGTCGTTACTGAAAGTACCATTTCTTCACATTGCATATGCATACTGGACACAGGTTAGACACAAGGAAGACATAAGGTAAAGTGAGTGAGCATTGTTTTACGCCACTTTTAACAATATCCCGGTCATATCTCGAAACGAAAACAACGCAAAAAACTATCTCGTGAACTTGAAATTTCTTCAGAAACTGATATTAATACCTTCTTTAAATCTGTGCGTAAGCTGAGACGCCCGCGGTCAACAGTTGACCAATTAGTGTTTAACAATACCCACGCGGACACACGAGAGGCCATATGTAACCTGTGGGGTGCTTACTATGCTAACCTCGCCATACCACATCATGCTGAAACTTTTGATGATGAATTTAAAGCATCTGTGGATATCAAACTAGCAGATATAATTTCACAACCTGATGATTCTACTGCTGCTGACGCTGTACTTTATGCCGATATCCAGCCATCAGAGTTAAAACAACATCTGGTTAATCTGAAGCGTAACAAATCCCCTGGACCAGATCACGTAAACAATGAACATCTTATCTATGGACAGACAGACAGATAATTTATTTGAGTCTTAACATCATACATATGTACATAGAAGGGAATAATAAAACGTTGAGCCAATCTTTACAGACTTATGAGAGACTATATCATATAAAATACAAAACCAAAAGAATATAGGATATATTATTTATATTTACAGTACGAAGTTAAGAATATGAAAGGGCATGACGACGCCGAATGATAAGAAAGCAGGTTTTGGCTGTATTAAAAGACACCTGTGGATTGGACAGTAAAAATCGGATCTTATCAAAGTCACTTAAAGACAACAAGCTCACAATAAGCTGCTCACATTTACTAAAAAGGACACCTCTTTCAAAAGAATAAAGTGGACAGTGCAGTAAAACATGACATTCATCTTCAATAAAATCATTACAGTAAAAACATGTTCTTTCCTTTAGGAGTACAATTATAACGTCCAGTTTCAACTCTTAGAGGAGCAATACCACATCTTAAAAGTGCTAAAGCACGTCTATAAGAGCGAGGCATGTGGCTAAATAAATAAAATTCAGGATGATATTCATCCTTAAAGGTAGCATATGGAGGTGACGTGCTGGTCGATAAGCTCTGCGTCTTATATAAGGCAACTATGAAAGCTGTGTACTTTCCCAATATCTTTAGACTGGGTATGATTGTTCCACTTTATAAAGGAAAAGGTGCAAAATGTGATCCAAAAAACTAAAGAGGTATCATCCTAACCTCCTGTATAGGGAAACTATTTGAAAAACTATTACTGTCACGTCTACAATGTTATATAAGCCATATCAATCCTCACTTTCCAGACCCTCTACAGTTTGGATTTAGAAAAGAACATGGTGCAATTATGTCGACGTTTATGCTCAATGAAGGCGTAACATTTTATGTTGAGCGTGGCTCCAAAGTCTTCTCAGCTTTTCTCGATAATAAGAAAGCTTTTGATCGCATCTGGCATGGCGGTATATTCTTAAAACTCCACAATTTGGGTATAACGGGTAAAATGTGGAATCTGCTATATCGCAGCTACACCTGCAGCTCTTCTTTTGTAATGTACAACGGAAATAGCTCAGACACATTTGAAGTAAAACAAGGTGTAGGGCAAGGTAGAGTCTTGTCTGCACGGTTCTTCCTTGTCTTCATAAACGATTTACTAACTGAATTAAGACTTAGTAACAATGGTACTTGACCTACTGGACGTAGAATTATATGTATTAATTGAAATGCTTCATGATGAACTCAAATAAAACATTCACACAGCTCTCCTATATTGTGATTGTACCTGCAACTGTAACCACAACCAGCCATCTAGTTTACCCTTAAAACGGAACAGACACAAATTTAATCTCTTACAGAATTAATTAATTTATAAATTAAATGTGTCTGTCTATTAATACAATAGTGACGATCAATACGTCATCACAAAATGTAATGCAGCAGAGTCAAGTAATCACTGAGGAGAAATTATCGTCGTTACTGAAAGTATCATTTCTTCACATTGCATATGCATACTGGACACAGGTTAGACACAAGGAAGACATAAGGTAAAGTGAGTGAGCATTGTTTTACGCCACTTTTCACAATATCCCGGTCATATCTCGGCGCGGGACACCAGAAATGGGCTTCACACATTGTACCCATTTCACGAAAGCTTTAGTGATTTAATCCCAAGGCTGATCTCGCCGCCCCGACCGAAGGTAAACTAATTTGAAAACACATAGTAGGACAGGCAAATGGCAGATACGAGGTAGTAGGGCAAGCATTTGTAGACAAAGGGTAGCAGGTTGGTAACCCTAACACGTCAAACATTAAAGCAAGCTAGATCGGCAGCCTGAACTTACTAGCGCTATAACAGATATATAAAGTACATTCTGTTCACTAGTTATTTACCAGAAATTGTAAAAGTACTTACGGTAGTGAAATAATACTACATCCGCGGGTTACGTGCGTTTTGTGCAGGACGAACTGTTGAGATCCAGATAACAATGTGTATAATACTCACGTGACCGGGTGGCAGCTTACCGTTCGTCCAATCATAGAGGCCGCTTTATTGGCAAGAGAAGATATTTACATTTCAATAGTTCCCTTGCCTCGGCTGTGAGAGTAAATGTCGAAGTATATCCGCACTGAAAGGGTATTTCTGAATACATGCAGGGGCGTAGCTACCATTATAAAAACAAAGCCCGGGTTAACACATGCTTGTTGCTGAAAAGGTTGGACAAGCCCTCAATGCTATCCAAAAATAAAGCTTTTCAACATATCGGGTTTACACGGAACAAACTGGCTCGCTACGCGCCTGACTGTATTGATAAAAAGAGGCAACGCTGAGGGGTAACAGTCAGACGCGGGGAGGGGTTATTCAGGGTGTTATTTGAGCAGGTGTACCAACAAAAGCCTGTGACAGTAGTTGGGGGTGCATGTGGCCATCTTGGGTCTTGGCTTCGACACCGTCACCCATACCACCCTCATAGCTGTACCCATTTCTGGTGTCCCCCGCCGTGATATTGCTGGAATATTGCTAAAAGCGGCGTAAAACTAAACTCAGTCAGTCAGTCAGTCATAGCTGTAGCTACGTACATAAATACCTATATTATTAATGTAACAGGGATGGCAACTGGATGTAATAAACTCCAGGACAATGGTTACAGTGGTGAGAATGTAGAGTGGTTTATTCCATGTGCAATAAGAACACACCCTGAAGCAATACATTATTCAGTTAATACACAGTCATACTGTTTATATATAGTATCAGATTTAAAATAAGTCATTACATCTTTCACATGAAATACTATAGTCATACAGATTCTAGACAAATTAACTACTGCTGTACTCATTGTGTGTCAATATACACATTTACCTCACCACACCTGTCCAATTGCCAAGAGACCGCTTATGTGGTGTAGTGGTTAGAGCGTCCGCCCCGAGAGCGGAAGGTCGCGGGTTCGATCCCCGACCGCGTCATACCAAAAGACGTTAAAATATGGTACTTGTTGGTCCCTGCCTGGCGCTCGGCATTAATGGGTACAACAAGGACTGGTCAGCTCGGAGTCAGTATAATGTGCCTGAGTGGGGTATTCATGCTTCACTATGGCATGGTATCTCAGTGGGCTAGCACTATAAAACCAGCTTCAGTCTGGGCTAGTACAAGCAGCCGCACATACACATACACACGCATGCACATCGTCATATGAGAGAAATATTCTCAAGCACGACGTTAAACCCAATTTCACCTCACCTCACCTCCAATTGCCAAGTCATTCCGTAACTGCTTGAAGAATTCTCAAGAAGATTTTACGACCGCTTCAACAGGTAGGCGGCAGTATATACTAGTAGTCTCTCTATCATGTTTCAGAGATGATGACAGGGTGGACCGTCACGGTAGAAGATGTTACAAGTATGATGGAAGAGATACTATTACATTGTCCTGTCTGACAATAAGGCTTCATGTGCGCTGATACCTGGATATCAGTACAATGAATGACACAGATTAACATCTAGTCATTATGCTTGAGCACCCGATAGATATGCCCAGCGTTATGGAACGTTTGAGTAACAGAAGTCTAGTTTCAAAGGTTCCCAGGAACAGAAGAAGAAGAAATATAGTTTATTAACGTGTCACTTGCTGCAGTTCATTACAAAAGACATTATATTATTACCAGGATTTAAAAACAGCATCCGGCCGTATGGCCTATAAGACACAGATATCACAGTTGTATAAAAACATTGGTAATAAAATCACACCCACACATGAACACACGCAAGCCCAAACATGTGCACAAACACAAACACATGCACACACGCACACACGCACACACGCACACACACATTCACCTTCTTACGCTAAAAAGCATAAATTATGTAAATAGCAGACATGTTGAGTGAATGCTGACCTTATTAACAAAATAGATTAGACTATTCAACGGAAATATTTCGGCGCCTAAACATAGTATGGAGGAGTGCGGCAAGGGGCTTTACGAACTGGTTATTTGTAAGTAAAAGTACCATTTTGTCTACCGCTGACATAGATGGGAATAAATGATGGACACTGGTTATTTCTTTCCAAAGGTTATATCTGAGATCTGAATAATAACCACAGTTAACCAGAAAATGTAATTCGTCTTCAACAGCTTTGCTACTACAGCGAGTACAAACTCTTTCATGAAGAGGAGACTTCGGACGAGAATATCTACCCAGTTCTACCTCTAATGGCAAAGTGCCACAACATATTTTACTCAAGATACTACGATGTGATCTAGGTAGAATTATTTCAACATAATGTTCAACCTGTAATAAATCTATAAAAAGACGATAAGTACGGAATTTATTTCCATTCTCCTGCCCTTTATCATTCCAAGCCCGGAAAACCAGTCAAACGGTCTAACGTCTTAAGGTGTTCTCATGTGAAATACTAAACAGGTCATTTATAGGTAAATGAAACTAAATATAAAAAAAACTAATAATTTATGAGTTCCAATATACCAAGATCTCCTCCAATTAAGTGGCCATCTCTTAAAAACACTAGGTATTCCACTGAGTTCAAGTAAATGAAGTTTACGCCAAAAACGAAGAACCTCAATTTTGTGTTTAGTATACTGAGAAACCCAGCCCATTTCGCCACGAACTGCTAAATTTGGAGTTTTGCTAGCGACGGCTAAGAAGAATCTGGCCGCCCGATGTTGAACTGCATTAATACAACTATACTGTCGTGTTCCCCAAACAGCGGCTCCATATGAAACAATGGGCTGAAGATTATCATATAACTTATTATAAACTTTATAATCCATATCACCAACTGCCTTAAACTTACAGAAAATCACACCCAAGTCTCTATTAGCAGACTTAACTATTTCCTTAGCAGTAAAATTTAAATCAAGATTCTCGTGCAGCCACAGGCCCAAGTATTTGTAAGCACAACAGTAAGTAATGACCTCACTACCCAATGAAAATACAAACTCTGACGATTTAACAGAACAAGGACGGTAATGTGCAACTTTAGTCTTATAAATATTAACCAAGATCCGCCGACGTGAACACAATCCAGCAGCATCATCAGCGTAAAACAATGAACTCAACATATCTCCATCAATATTTATACCACAATGTAAACTGTCTATTTCATTGGCTAGATCATTAATATAAAGTGAAAAAAGTGACGGCGACAAAACGCAACCTTGTCGTACACGGGTAACACCTGAGTTTACATCAAACACATCAGTGAAGCTATCATTAATGCGAACTCGTGACAACGTTCCCTCGTACATCGACTGGACTGCATGGAGAAACTTACCATTAATACCCAGCTTCAACAATTCATACCATAAACAATTGCGATTAACCTTATCAAAAGCTTTCATGGCATCAATAAAACAATCAAACGTAGATTGCTTAGATAACTTTCTGTTATTAACAATGGAGAAGAGGCGATATAAATGTTCATGTGTACAGGTTAAAATACAACAATACATATTCAGATGGTCATACCCCACTTTGCCGGACAGCTGATGTGATGGTAACGAATTAAAAGTAACGGTCCGCTAGTTTGCCGGCTATAGTCTGTTTTCAGTGATTAGTTGTCACCAATAGTCATTTGGGGGACATGAGCCTTTGGCAGACTGAGTTCGAAATCATTAATTACAAGGCACCAATTTGTTTTGAGTGAACTCGATTTCTAGTAACTGATTTTAGTTAAATCGAATTACATTAGCTGAATTGAGTGAAGCTTATTCCAATGATTATTTTTGAAGTTTTGCCTGTATATAATGAATGTAGACATGGTTCGTTCATTGCAAAATGGCAAACGCTCAAGTTAACATTCCAAATTCGAGGGGGGGTAGGTTGACACTTAATCTATCTTCGTCACAAGGTTAGGGTTAAGAGCACAAAAAGGGACCGAGTTCATTTGAAATGTTGTAAGACAGGTTGTCCTGCAACCGCCAACACCGTCAGTGATGTTCTCAGCAGTTCTAGGAACACACACAACCGGCCTCAGACCACAGTTACCCCCCTTAACTTTTACCATGACCCGGAAGTAAAATATGAGAATATAGTGCCTTGTTTAAATGGGCTGTTCTGCTTGTGCTGATTTTTTCAGGGTGACTTGTGATAGCTTAAATGAAAGGTAAGACATTGTACTTTATTGCAAAATTTTTTGGTCCACAATCTACTCATGGTATTGACACCAGCCTTCCTTGATTTGACCCCAAGTTCAAGGCTGTCTGGTGTGTTTCGGCTCGTAACTTCCGGTGACCATTGTTTACAGTGGATACAGCAAAATCGACATGGTCGATCCAGGCTCATATTTTGCCGATTAAGTGACAAGTGGCAGGTTGGTGAGCATGCAACAGGAGAACAGCCTACGACCGATATTAATTATGGTGCACTGGCATGTCACTGTAGATAGCAAAGAAGGAAAATAATTGTGGTCTGAGGCCTGATATGGTGAAGGTAGTGCAAGTGTTTAATTTGCTATATGTCTGTTATTTTTCAAAATATTCACTTGAAACTTTGCATATTTACTGCCAGGAGCATTTGAAATATGTATACATGTGTTTTCAACTGAAAATATTTTTTTTACATTTTTATGAATTTATTTCAGTTTTCTGATTGCATATTGTTTTAGTGAGTGAGCGGACGCATCATATTTAGACATATTGGTTCAATTATGGTGAATGTATGTATCACTACACCGCACGTGCCTTATAGATGCATGTGATACCTAAAATGGCTAATATTCAAGCCTTTTTCCAAAGATATAGAGCCAAGTTTGTGAAGAATTCAGTCCTCAGTGTGGAAAATGGCATATGTCATATGTGGACTGGAGCATGCAAGCACAGTGGGTATGGGGTGTTGCGGTATTTTTGCCCCATAGCCTACCAGTGGCGTACTACTCATGCTCACAGGCTGAGTTTTATAGTACACAGGGAAAACTTCGACATAGGTGATTACGACATCAGCCATTTGTGCCACAACAGTAAATGCACCTATGTCGAACACCTGTCTGCTGAACCACACAGCATA